CCACAGACCAAGCAACACTGTATGCTGGGCTGGGCTGGGCTGAGCTCACTCACCAATCCTCCTAGCACCCCTTAGAGATAGCTGCTGTGAATCCATGATGCAGAGGAGGAAACTGAGGCACAGAGAGGGGAAGCAACTTACCCAGGGTCCTGGGGCTGGTAAATGACAAAGCCTGGACCGGAACCCAGATCTGCCTGACTCCTGGGCCCCCAATAGCAACCACAAGAAGGTTGGCTGCAAAGATGGCCTTAGAACAAATGAAACATAATCCCCATGCCGCCATTTCTTATTCCAACCTGGCTTCCCTTCTGTGCTTTGTCTAAGGTAGTTTTATGGGGAGAGTCTGCCATTCTACCAGCTGATTCTTTATAGAGTGTCAGTCATTCACTGGTAATGGCCTCAGAGAGTGCTGTCAGGGCAAGGCTGGAGAGAGAGAAACGAGGGGACAAGAAGGACATGTGGGGCCCTGAGTCCCATACTCCAGGGGACCTGAGTATAGTGGGAGTTCAGGACTCATAACTAAGGCCCAGATTTGAACTTTCAGGAGGGACCTGCTGGGAAATGCCAAGAGAGCCTGTGAGGGTTCTCACATCCTGGGGACCAAGGAAGGGCAAGGCAATGGCACATTTTCTCCAGAACATTCCAGCCTGTCTCCAGCAGAGAGCAAAATCAAAGATCACTTAGACCCCGTATGGCCTTGGGCCAGCAACTAGATGTCTCTGAGCCTCTGTGCGATAGGAATACTAAGCCTTGCCTCTCAAGCCTGTGTGAGGGTCCCACAGTATTATGTCCTTTGTCAACAGGAGGCTGTCCTGCAAGTAGCAGTTTCGGCAGCCTTTGCTCCAAACTCACCAGGCAATCTATTTCCAGGTCTGGCCACCAGGGCCCAGAGAAAACGGTTTTCCTTCCTGTGAGAGCCTCAGCCCCGGCACCACTCACTCCCATCCCCCTTATCCCCGAAGCAACACAGACCCCTCTGGACGCCTCTCTCTGCCATTTCTTGTCCTCTCCCCACCCCCACCCCATCCCACCAGCGGCATTCCAAGGTCCTTCTTTTTTCTAACATCTTCCCTGTACAAGAGAACGAAAGGCCTCTCCCCACACCCTTTGCCAAGACCATCAAAAGAACTAGCAGAGATAGAGGTTGTAACAGAGGCCCGGGCCCAAGGCCCCGTGTGCACTTGAATGGGCTGTGCACCACACACGGAACGGTGCCCTCTGGAGTTGGGCAGCGCATGGCAGTCCTGCCTGGCCGCACTTCTGGCTTCTAGGTGTTTTGGGGGGCTTGCACAATGCTTGCTTTCTGAGTGTTTTTAAGTTAGTGGCCAGCATTTAAAAACAGGAAATTTCACATAAAACTCCAGATGTTTTGCTTTTTCCTGGAAGATTAGCAGATCTGGCAATCCTGGGCCCACATTCTGGCAGCTGGCAATACTCAGCTGGCCCAAGATTCAATTTGCCCTGTTGGAGTCTGTTTGTGGGGATAGGGGGGTGCCTGCCTGGTGTGTTTTCAGGGACCCTCTTCATCTGCCTGTGACTCCACAGCAACACTGGGCTGGGGAGTCCCCTGGACAGGAAGCCAGGGCTGGGTTGAGCCTTTGAGGGGCGAATAAACAGGGCCAGAGAGGACCATGACTTGCCCAGCGTCTCCACACGGGAAGAACTGGTCTCTGCTGGTTCTAGAAGTAACAATGAAGATTCATTCCACACACCCTGACAGCTCTCCGAGGCAGGCTGCTGGAGACTCGGAGGCCAGCAGCCCCAGTCCTTGCCCTCAGGGAGCTCCCAGTGTCTGGTGGGGCGGGGGGGTAGGTGGGGAAGCAGACATCTAATACAGAATCCCAGTGACATGAGCTCACTGAGGTAACAAGGAGTTTCAAGACTACAAAAACACAGCAGAGGCCCTAGCCTAGATTGCAAGGTTCTGGAAGGCTTCTTAAAGGAAGAAACATCAGAGAAAAGGGCAGAAATATCAAAGTACAAAGAATGCTCAGGGAACAAATGGTCTGGCAAGGGGGAGCACTGGGGCCAAGGTGGGGGTACAGTGGGGGGCTGGGCCTGCAGCGGTTGGAGGAGCCGGGCTATGATGAGCCCGAATGCCAGGTTGAAGGGCTGGGCTTTGTTCTGAGCCCAGGGATGAGGTCTGATTTGGCTACCTGGGAAGACCTCCGTGCCTGTGAGGGGAGAGTGGAAGAGTCAGGCGATGGGCAGGGACCAGGGAGAAGGCAGGAGTGGGGTCCAGAGCGGCGAGTGACCATGGGGCCTGGGCTAGGTAGTGGCTAGGAGAGTAATGAGTTGAGGTACCACAGTGGGGAGGTAGGATGGGCAGGACTTGGTGGAAGATCAGCTGTGGGGAGTGCAGGAGGCCGAGGAGTCCTGGGGACAGGGGTGGAGCGGGGAGGCGCAGCTCTGCATCTGGGCCTGCCATCATTGAGGGCCGGGATTGAAAAGCGGTGGTGAGTTCAGCCTTGGCCATGGTGAGTTTGGGGTGGTGGGGCGGGGGGGTGGTGCACCAAGGGAGAGATGTTTAGGAGGCTGTGGGCTCTAGGAGAGCCCATGAGAGGATACGGGCTGGAGTCAGATCTCTGGCTGTCTGGAGACAAGAGCGGAAAGAAGGTAACAGAAGCCACAAGTGGGCAACCTGCCCGGCGAGAGTGAGACGCCTCCGCCATATGCTGCATCTGAAGAACAGAGCAAAAAGAAGAACCTACCCTGGAACTGTGTTCAGATGCCACATAGGGGGAGGGGACAGTGTTACAAAGGCGCTAAGATGTTTTTGGAAAACCTACCAGCTTCCAGCACTGACACACCCATAGCCCTGAGCCTGGGAAGGGAAATTTTCCCAGCAGCAGATATTGGGCAATCCGTCCCTCATAACAATGACAGATACTTCTCCGGAGGTATTGGGGTAGAAGGAAGCCAGTGAGGCCAACTCCTTCCTTGAGCCCTTCTTACCTCCTAGATTGCTCTGTGTGCCCTCAGTTTGCTAGTCCCTCCTACCTAGTGCCTGTGGCCCATGCCTGCTGTCTCATCTTCCGTAAAACCCCCTCCTGGGCAGGTTCCCTCAGACCTTCCTCTGGGCTGCAGTGCTGGTCAGTCTCCTGCACTATTCAAGTCCCCTTGATGAAGCAGTGAGCTCCCCAGGGCAGCACCTTCCCCATCCTATGTCCTGATGCACCATGTCCCTGCTGAAACCCTCTAGGTCAGAAGACTTTGGATTCAAATATTTGCTTTGCCACATCGGAGCTGTGTGACCTTGGGCAGCTTAGTTGGCCAATGTCAGTTTCAGTTTCCTTCTCTGGAAGCGAGAGAAGAGTGCCGGTTTCATGGAGTGTTTGTAGGATTGCAGGAAAATGCCATGCCGGGTACACTGTTGTCCTCAACAATAGTTGGCCCCTCCTCCCTTCCCACCCCATCTATACCATGTGAGAACAGACATCTCAGCCTCAAAAGGTCAACCGCTTTTTTGGGAACCGCTCCTGTCTCATACCCTAGCGAACAGTATTCTCTGGCCCCATAGATGCTTGCCATTCCCCAAATTCATCCTATTCTTTTCACCCCTCTGCCTTTGCACATGCTGTACCCTCAGCCTGGAGTGTCCTTTCTCCCCAGCAAACCACTTCTCATCTTTCAAGGCCTGGCCCAGCTTAAAAACATGATTGTTAAACCAAGCTAAGCTTAGGGAGGGAGAAGACAGGGGCTGGAGCATGGGAATGTGGGAGGAGGGGCTCAGGTTGGGGTGGGGGTGGGCTGGGGGCCCTGAGTGCTCCAGTTCCCAGTGTGGCCCTAGTGAGCTTCTGGAGGGGGTTATCGAGCTTCTGGAGGGGGAAAGAGTCGGAGGCACGAAGGGCTTGGCTGTCATCATTGGGAAATTCCTCCCTGCAGGGCTTCGGGTGGTCTGCTGGGATGACAATAGCATACTTGAGGTCCAGCTCTTGCCGGCCTCCCAGCTGTTGCTTCTTGAGGAAGATCATGCAGGGTGGGGGAGGAGGCCAAGCACTTTCTGGTGGTTTCCAAGCTGGGTCAGGCACCCTGTGCTGGGACTTTCTGTTCCCAGTTCCAGCCCCGGCTATCCCATCTAGAAAGATGACCTTAAAAACAATGAGGGCCTGGGGGGAGGGTGAGCCCTGAGCACATAGGGAATTCAGGTCAGTCTCCTTCAGCCTAAAACATGGAGCCTGAGGCTCAGAGAGAGGTGGCCATTGGCTTTGGCCACGCTGCCCACCCCCCTCCCCTGACCATGAGTCCCAGCTCATCTCTCCATGTGCTTATATTTACCCCGCAAGGGCCCTATTATACCCAACCTCACTCCATATCCTGAGTCTCCAGTCCTCAACTAGAGTAGGCTTTCAAAACAGGTTGGAGGGAAGGAAGGAATGTCATGGGGGGGAGACAGGGAGTGGAGGGAGGACAGCTTAGACACTGAGACTTTCCCAGATCCTCGCGTCTGCCAAGCCTGTGCTGAAATCTGGGGCCCCAAGAATGGCTCAAATCTGACCCCACCTCCAGGAAGCTCCCAGTCTGGGGAGGGAGGCACTGTTCTCCATCATTTCAAACATTAGCACTTAGGGCTCTGGGCTGCAGCCCATGAGGGATGGCAGGGACCAAGTTTACTTCTTTCTTTTTCCCGGCATCCAGGGTGCAGCTGAAGTTGGGGCTGGTACCCTGGAGACAGCCAAGTCCCCTTATCACCGATGGGGGGATCTGACCCATCCCCTGCAGAGAGGCCTTTGCTGCACTTCTCGTTCCAGAGACAGAAGATTGAGCTTCTCAGTACAGGAAGAGACCAAATGACCACCTCAGCCAACCCCCTCCATCTGTCACACAGAGAAAGTGAGTCCCAGAAAGGGACAAAAGCAGAGGGGGCTTTGAATACCTAGCCCCTGACTGTAGGGTTTAGGCAAGCCTGCCGTCTGGTTCACAGCTGCCTGAGATCAGGCCCAGTAGGCAAGGCCTAGCCTGGGAGGAAATAACCACCCCCAACCCCACCCACCCCAGTCACTCACACCCAGAGAATAGTTTGCTTTGTCTGGAACCAGTGGAGAAGCGCCCAAGTGGGTAGAGTCTCACTAGTGTGGGGTCTGTGGAAGGGAGGAGGGAGCCCTGAGGGTAATGGCAGAGAGAGGAAAGAGCTTTGGCATCAGGACAACCTGCCCCCACTCTGCTGGCCCCCACTCTGCTGCTCCCTTGCTGGGTGACCTTGGGTGAGTCACTTGCCCTCTTGGAGCATCTGTTTCCTCAACTATTAAAAAGGGTGAGAGTACATCACTGCATTCTCATAAAGCCAGTGACGCAGAGCTCAAATTTTAACCTGGGACTGCTCGTTCTTTCCTTTGCCCTACCTCTCTGCCCTGGATCGATGCACTTTGAACCCAGGACGGCTGGAGAGCAACAGAAACAATAAGAAGAACAAGAAAAGATGAACCTTGAAGAAGAGAAGTCAAGCAGCATACGTGAGATAGGTTACTTCTAGCTGGGGAATCCGTCTGGAAGTCTTCCTGGAGGAGTGATGTTTGGAGGAGTTGGCAAATGGCAAATTTCACCAGAATCGGTGAAGAAAGGTGGGCAGATACCTTCCTGGTAGAGGTAAAAGCTGTGAGCAAAGGGGCAGAGGTTGGAAAGAGGCTTCTCTGAAATCACGAAAGGAATGGCCTTGGGAGGTCATTTTCTCCGACTCCTCCCCCACAGACAGGGAAAGCTCTGCCTGTTGCCGAAGGGCACATGGTGAGTTGGTGGTAGGGCTGGGCTGAGAGCCAGATCTGACCCTGATTCCTCTCTCTGGTGTCTGACCCTGGCTAGGACAGCTGACCCCTCTCCCTCATGCAAGCTGGCCCCTGCTCTTTTCCCAGGCTCCAGTCTCTATACCCTGCCCCACCTGCATTCCCATATCCCTCAGATGTCCTCAGACCAGAAGGAGCTCAGGGTGGGGCCCAGGAAGCAAAGCCAGAGGTGACTCCTGGTGGACCAGTGGGCAGACGGGGGATCAGCCTCCTGCTGTATGTGCGGGAGGTCGGGGCGGCTAGAGAATAGTCTAGAGCTGAGCCCTGCAGGGGTCAGAATAACAGTGGGGTGAGGGGGACAAGCACAATACAGCCAAAGTCTCTAGTTTCTTCCCAAACCTATAGGGTCACAACCCTCCCATCCTGCAGCGAGCCAAAGCTGATGGGGAATTTGGTCTGTCAGTGGCCCATCTCCAAACCAACCCAGGGCCTCATTGTCATCTCTCCAGCAAGGCCCCCAGAGGAAGCATCCACCCCACCCTTCCTGCCATGCCAGGGTCCCCAAGCCGCGTCAGGCTGCCCACGAAGCCCTCGGTGCCGCCTGCACGAGCCAGGGAGAAGGTTCAGTCCTGCCTGAATGGGCGTGAGGCTAACACAGCCAGCAGGGGACAGACAGCTGGAAGGAGGCCAGAGGTGATCACCGCAGGGCACCCTGTCTGAAGACCCTTTGTTTCTTCCACCTCCCTCCTCTGCCCAAGAAATGCTCAGCGGGGCGCTCTGTTCCCAGAACCTCCGCCCTCTCCACGTGGCACGTGTCACGCTGCAGGCTGGGCTCTGCAAGCCTCTCTCTGAATCCCTTTCTCTTCTGTGCTGAGCTTTTGGATTCTTCGTGGCAGGTCTGCCTGTCTCTCTCCTGTCTGCCTCTGTCTGCTTCTCTTCATTTCTCCCTGTCTCTTCTGCAGCCTTCTCTCCGGGGCGGACCTCCTTCCCTGTCCCTGCACAGTCCTGCAGACACCTGTTGGCCTTTGTCTTCTCCTCTGTCCCGGCCTTTGTCTGACTGCCTATCTCTGGACTTGCTCTGTCTCTGACTCCACTTTCATCTGTATATTTGTCTGCTTTGTCTGTCTTTATCTCTGCCTGCTTCAGACAGGGAACAGGGCTCGGCAAGGGGCTCGAGTGGCCCGACTTTCCATTGTCCTCTCGGCGTCTCTGTCTCATCAGGGAAGGTAGGCTGGGTTCCCCGCCTCCAGCTGAGTAAACAGCATCCCTTCTTGCCCCTTCCGTCATTCACTCATTCATTCAGACACTTTCTCTAGGTCTGGCCTTATGGCTGGCTCTGCGTGGGGAACCGCGAGTCCCCCAGCCCAGCCCACCCAGTACACCCATTTTGGCTCCACAGCCTCCTCACCCTCCACACTGGGAATGTGGACCCCAGACTCCATCCCAGTGCCCCTTCCTTAGTTTCATCCAAGACTTACCTATTCTGGGTCCCATGATTCATGGGGTGCAGTGAATTCCAGCCCCTATTTCAATGTCAAGAGGCAGGCAGGAGAGGGAGTGAGACCTTATCAGGGGCCCCTGGAGGCAGCAGCCACGAGCCACCGAAGGGAGGCACTAATGTGGGGACTCCAGGCACTGGGGCCAATGCTGCTCAGGCCACGCTGGATCACAGCCACTTCTTCTGAGATGGGTTAGGAATTCCTGTAAAACTTGACTCCACTCTCCAAGAGCCTGCCTCGTCCAGTTACTTGTTCCTTCTGGCTGTCTCTCTCTCTGAATTCCTCTGATCTTTGGCTGGGCCAGCCCAGGGCCAGAGTGGTGCAAGAGGCTGGGTTTCTTTCGATCCGGCCCCGCTGCTGGGAGGAGGCTGCTGTGTCACCTCCCCTCAGCCTGTTCCTTCACATCCTCTTGCCTCAGCATTCCCCTGGATATTTTCTCTTCCTCCATTAGCAGTAGAGAGGTGGCGGGCAGAAGGAATGTTGATGGTCCCCAAGCCCTGGTCTCATTCAGTCTGGATTCTCCAGTCTCCTCTTGCACTCCCATTCTCAATCTGTCCCCCACCAAGCTTTTGTCCCCCATCACATCTTGTCACCCTCCATGAGCCCCATAGAGAGCCCCTGTTTCCCCAGGGTCCCCCTTCCCAGAATCCCTGGCCCCTTAATATCTCAACCCTTCTCACTAAACCCCCATCTCCTCTCTGAGCTCGGAGGATCCAGAGCAAGGAGTAAGTCCGTTCACCAGGATTCACAATGGCCAGCCTCCTTGAGGGACTCATGGCAACAGCTCATGAAGTGGAGCTCCATCTTGGTGGAGAGGGTCGGGGAGGAGAAGGGCAAATCTGCAATTTCAAGAGTTTTCTGGACTGAAGGCTGAGGATGGAGGCCTTGGAGCCAGACAGACCTGGGTCTCATTTCAGCCAGCTACATGGTCCCAGACAAGTTTCTGCATCTCTGAGTATCATTTCCCTCATCCTTAAAGAAGGGACAGCTGGCCCCTCACTTGAAGGGCTGCTGTGTAAGTTCAGCGAGCAAGAAAAAAGCCAAGCCTGAAGGCCTGGAGCTCAGAGAAGGAAGCCACAGAGGCAGGTCTCAGAACAGGCCAGCAGAGGACACATACCGGTTTGCCTTTTCCAGCTTGCTCAGCACTTGCACGTGAGGCCCTACTGGGTCTATCATCCCTGTAGGCCAGGTGCTTATTCCCCCATTTTACGGATGAGACATTGAGTCTCCGTAACTGCCCAGAGATCACCCAGCTAGTAGGTGGTGGGGCCATGTCTGAATCTTTGGTGCTAGAACCAGGCTTTTTCCTCCACCCAGGCTGCATTTTCTGAGGAAGACCTCTGGGTTTCCCCAAATCCAAGATACAGAAGTGAACTTGACCCAGTTCCAGGAATAGGGTCTTTGCACGAAATGGGGATGTGGATTTGGAATCCAACTTTCAGGGTGCAGTGATAAGGGAAATATCCATGGACCCCACTTGGCTCCCAGGGGCTATATGAGGGAGCTGGTGGGAAGCGGGGAGTCTTTGAAATAATCAATGTGCAGCCCGGCACATAGTGGCCCTCCATAGATACTCGTTGCCTAACTGTCTTTGAGAAACCAGAAATGTGATGCGTGACCACCATACTAGGAAAGGTCAATAGTTGGCTCAGGTTGATATAAAGACCAGGCCTTGCTCCTGCTTGAGAAAACCAAATTGGTTCTATTTCTCGAAATCCTTCAGACTGAAGTCAGTAGTGCGAGTCTTCGCAGAGACTGGCAGAGGTGCCACCTTCAGACTCCAAATTGCAGGTGCATGGTTAAGAGTGAGAAGGTCCCTTTAGGCTTTCTGGAAACTCAGTTGCTTCCATCTTGGCTTCAGAGGCTGAAAAATTCTATACGTGGATTGCTCTGGGTACCTGTCAGGGCCCAGCTTGGCTGGCTAAGTTCAGCTCATCAGTCTTTGAGTGAAACAATGCACAACGCTCCCCAAGGTGTGGAACATACAATAACCTCAGACATGAGTGATCTTCATTTATCTCCTCGGCCTCCCCAGGCTGACGTAGCCTGGTCCGAGAATATTCCTGAACTCAGCTATGTAATTGGAACAAGGGTCAGCTACCCAGCAGCTTCTGGGAATTAGGCTAACAGGCCTTTGGGGGCTCTTGGGCTAATCCCTCAGTGACGTCCCATCATGGGTAGCCTCAGCTTGTTCAACCAACCTGCTTTGCACCCCTGCTTTACCACTTGCCAACATGGTGTTTGCCGAACCCCGTGCATTTTACAGAGCCCCAGGGTGTGTGTAGATTGCAACACCATCTGCGGATTCCCATAGTTTGCAAAACTTGATGCCTTTTTTAGAGTCCCACGCTGTTGGCAAAGCCCAGCATGGCTCGCAGAACTTCTGAGGCCCCATGATGCGTGCGGTCTTGCATCTCATGCCGAGCCTGATGCTGTTCATAAAATCTTGGGCTGTTTGCAGAACCCAGGTCCTTCCCTTCTTTAAGTCAATCCATGTAGGGGGTTTGCAAACCCAGAAAAATAGGACACTCCTCATTTTATAGAACTATCTGAATTTGGGTGTAATGGAATAGTGCTGAACTCCGGACTGGAGACCTCAGTTCTGGTCCCAGCTCCGTCAGTAACTAGCTATGGCATTTGCAGCAAGTCCTCTCTCCTCTCTGGGTCTCAGTCTTCTCATCTGTTAAATGGAGACCGTCACCTCCCACCTCCCACCTTCGGGACTGTCATGAGTGTCACTGTGAGAAGGCCCAGAAGATGGGGAGGCCGGGGTAGCAAGGGGAAGAGTAGCCAGAGGCTCCTTCCTGAAAAAGGCTCCAAACTGCCATCTCAGCACCTCTGCTCCCACTTCCCTTCAGCCTGGCAGCCAGGGAGCGGATGTCTATAAATGAGCCCTCAGCTGGGCAGACAAGTGAGGACCTCAGTCAGAGTTCCAGCTCTCCCCACCCCCAGACGCTGCCTGGGGTCGGAACCCAAGCTACACAGCCATGCTCCCATGCATGGCTCATTTAATCTGCTCGAGGAGGGCTGTGTCATACTTATTTCACCCATGAGGATCCTGACACTCAGAGAGTCCTTGTATCTTGCCCAGAGCTACAAGTCAAACAGACAGCAGGGGCCGGGATCTGAGCCAAGGACAGCAAAGATGGACGCATGGTACCCAGAAGGTTAGAGCAGGAAGGAAACTGGAGCACATTTCATTCAATCCTTCCCTTGTTCCGACTGGGAGACTGAGGCCTGGAGAGACCACAGGTCTCTCTCCTTAGGCTTCAGTTTCTCTCTCTGGTGGATGAGAAACAGACCCCAGCCTGCCAAGGGTTCAGGATTTTATCCCTCTTTGTT